ATATATTTAAAGACTGAATCTTTAAAGAGACCAATAAAATAGGTAAGTACTGTGTATCCTGATAAGTAAAACCTAGAAGAAATGAATACTTTTCAAGGAAAATATACATTATCGGAAATGACACAGAAGAAGTGAAAAGTTTAATAGACCAATTACAATAGAAAAGATTGGCGAAGTGATTAATGATCCCCTGTTGAAAAGGCAGTAGGCAGATGGATTCACAGATAAATTTTTAATCTAACCGTTAAAGAATAGATAATTCCAATATTATGTAAACTATTGTGGCTCTTAGAAAAAGACTGAAGTTTCTGCAGTTAATTTTATGAAGTCAAATTACCTCAAATACCAAAGCCAAAGAAGGAATGCAGCAACAGCAATTAAAAGTGCAGACTGATTTCATATGTGACTATAAATGCCAAATGTTTAAATACTACACTAGAGAATAAAATAGAAGACTGAATCAAAGGAGTAATACACCATGACAAAAAAGGCTTTATTAGAGGAATGTAAAGGCAGTTCAATTCTGGGAAGTCTATCTTTATATCGGTTATATAAAAAATTAAAGGGGAAAAAACTTGACCGTTATTGATGGGTAGTGAAAAGACAGCAGATAAATGTAAGCAACCAATGCCAAGGGAAGCTTGATGTAAAATAAGAACAAAAAGAAATTATTTACATGATAAAGAAAAGTCCACTAATAAACATGATCTTAAATGGCAAAAAGTAAATCTTCCATCTAAAACCAGGAATCAGACATTACTATAATCACTATTGCTGATTCTAGCAAATGTAAATAAAATAAATGATATAAATAATGGAAAAAGAGATAGAGCTCCTGATACTGATGACATACCTGTCTTTTTAGAAAACCCAAAACTTCTGTGAAAAAAATATAATTTGATGTGTTGTACAAATATAAAACAAAGTACAGAAATAATCAGTCTCTCTTTGTTCAGGCAAAAGCACCTAGAAAAGGAAATGGGAAGAACATTTTATTCACAACACAGATGCTGGAAACTAATTTGGTATACATATATATATAGTAAAAATGGTTCAGAACATATATGAACAAAACTCTAAAAATATTACTGGGGTGTGCAAGACAAAATATAAACAAATGGAAAAGTTTATTATCATCTTGAAGACAATGTAAAAATGTCAACTCTCCAACAATACATAAATTTCATGCTGTTCTAATTGGATGTTTTTTCTCTCTTACATAAATACCATCTAATGATTGAAAAGAGCCTTAAGTTCCAAGTATGTACATATAATAGTAATTGTGAATGAACATAATCTTTAATTTGAGGCTTTTTAAAGAATTTTAAGAATTATCAAAATAATATTGGAAAAGCTCTGGACACTTTTATAAATATATTTCTGTATAATAAATGTGAAAATACACAGTAGGGTCTCACGCAAAAGTTCCTGCAATCATAATCTGTAGCAAGAATTTAGACACTGGCCAAGTCAATGCTATAATGATCACTTCTTGTTTCACGGTGTCTTTTGTGAGCACAGAAACCTAGAAAAGGGTACTCATTGTTTCCATTGGGATGACCCTCCTTTCAATCCTCTTTGTGGAAAATGACTCATTTTCTTTTAAGAATGAGAGTTGAAAATATATTTAAAAAAAAACAAGTAGAAAATAGATTTTCTATTAGAGAGAAACATGTAATGTGCAATTTGTTTTCTGTGTAGCAGAAGTCAGTAAAAATATGTTGACAGTAATGTCATATATTGGTTTGACTTTGAAACTTGGATTTGCCTCTTTCTAGCTGTGTTACCTTTGACAAATTAATTTTGTAATTCTTAGTTTCTTCATCTATAAAATGATGAAAATAGTACTTAATCTCATACGATAATAATACCTCAGAAATACTAATGATTTCAAAAGTGTTAGTTAAAAGCAAGCAAATGGAAATAATACCATTAAATATTGGGATGTTAATGTCACCACATGCCTTAGAATGTGGCCAACATATAGTAGGTTCTTAATATTCTTGAACCAGTGCTCAACATAGTGTGGCTCACACTGTGGTTTTATCAAAGGCATTCAGTATTTTCCTTCTCTTACCTCTGTTCTTGTTAATATCATTGTAAAGTAATACCATTTCGATGTCCCCAGGTCATCCTGGGGTTTGTGAACTTAGCCTAAATAAGGTTTAACAATCATCTTAAGTTTAACAATCATCTATGCCCACCCAGGCTCTGTCACTATGCCAGGAAATCCTCATCTGTGTGTCCCAAGTGCTCAGAAACAATTCCACTCATGTTCTCCTGCTCTGGGATTGTAGTCAAATTATCCTGACCCAGTATTGGCTAGCAATGTTCTTTCTAAGGATATATATATATATGCCTTTGCTAGGCAGAGCCCTTCCTTCTGCTGCACAGATGTCTATGGCACACTGGGTGAGAGAGGGGCCCTCTCTCCAACTCTGTGAGGTACTTTGTCACAAGGGTCCCAATAGTATTCCTTAGACCCCAAATCCCACAGTCACTTGTGAAAATGATTCCTCAGTTTCTGGCCCTAAATTCTTTCCCTAAGGGGCTCAAAACCACTTGAAGTCTTTGTGGGAGAGTGGAAAATGCAGGCACCACCCCATTCCCATCATACCTTTTGACAGTTTCTCAAGGCCACCAGCACAGTATTTCCCCTTCCTTCTTCATTCAGAAATATACACTTCAAGAACATGAGCTTATATAAACAGATGGTCAGAGGTGCCACCAGTCCAACAGATTTATAACTGATAGGATTCTAAACTCCAGTTTGGTATGAGGTGGACCACGAGACTTTATTCTTCTTTCTAATATTCTAATATCCCTGTCAACCAGACAGAGAACACTAATTCAAAAGACATCTTAATCTACTCGGATTCTGTTCCTTCTTGTCTTCTGTGAAAGTGAAACAGCTATGAATGGGGAGGAGAATCACCCATTCTGAGGCTGGGACCATCTTGGTCCTGAATCATAGCTGCTGGGCCACACTGGGATCTAGTGCCCAGCTCCTCAGCAACATGGAGCTCTGTGGATTTCTGTCGTGCTGCTACTGAAGAGCCAACATTTATAATAACAGTTAACAGAGCAACAATGGCACAACATAGGGTAACTTTATTCCTTATTTCTAAAGAAGCTTCCTTAAGGTGACACAACAGTTGTTAATGCCCTGTTACTTCTTTAAATTCTGGTAAAGTTTGTGAGGACCCATGGCATTAGGGCCAATAGGGCTTGCTCTTTCCTGGGATTGGAAGAATAAAAGTGTAAAATGTAATATGATAATAATAGTTTAAGTGCAGGGTAAAACACGATGTAGTGTAAATGATAGTGTAAGAATGAGTAACAAAAAGGTAGTGGAGAATTCCCCCTCACTCTCCTGGGACCCTAGCCATGTATTCTTTGAAACTGATGTTTCCAGGATAGTTCTGGGTGAAGTCTAGCCTCTTCTTTCTGATTCCTATTCCTAACCTCAGCATGTCAACCACCTTAGATACTTAAGTATCCCTTTCTCCACCAATGAAACCTAGTTTTCACCAAGGAAGGATAAACAAACGCATTCAAGGCCAATCAAGGATGTTATAAGGCTTAGTGTGTATTTCCCACAGGTATTCTAGCGGAAACACTAGTTAAAACCCCGAGATTGCAATGCCTGCTCTGCCACTCATGTCAACCCAGCAAAACTCTCTGAGCCCAGTTTTGCTAGTTAAAAATAGCAACAGTATTCCCAATTTCATGAGTTTTAGAAGAGCAAGTGAATAAAACTGGAAATAGACTCTCAGTGTAGTGTTTGGTTTGTAGTAGGTGTTCAATTTATGTTTAAAAATTATGTTAATTTACTCAGAAGAGGACAAAAACCTTAATTCAGAGAAAATAGCTTTTAAGAGTGGAATTTCATACTGTTTGAAGGGGCATTTGAAGGGCCTTTTTTTTTTCTGGCTCCCTTAAATTATATTTGATAGGTAGTTGCCAACTCCTTTCTTTCTTAAAAAAAAAAAAAAATCTTTCCATCAGGAAAGTGATTCACTTGTTTCAAGTCTGAAATGGTCTGAAATGAATCTATTTAAGCCTAGTTGTGACAGGGGCAGGGGCCACAAAAGTGCTTTCACAAAATTCTAAGGGTTATCAAGGTGGGGACTTCTCTTTCCAGTTCTATAAAGTTCATTTCATATGACATGATTCCTTGCCCATTCCCAAGACACTAATCTCTAAAATGGTGAACAATGAACCTTAAGTATTTTTGAATTTCTTTAAAAAAATAATATCTGTATGTTGAAACGTTTTCCACATTCTACATTTTCCAACTGCTGTGGTTTATCATTTGTGGAGCAATAACTCTGATTCAAAACTGTCCCTCACTTCCTTGTATCTACAGAGCACCTGTAGGATGGGGCCCCACTTGCTTACATTTTCTAACGTTCTAGCTGGCCTTGGATAATCTTTTATTCTTTGCTTCGCGTAGATGCTTGGGTAAAAGATCTGAGGAGACTGGCTCTTCAAGGGCTCTAGACGCCCCTCTGGTTTAAGACGTCTGTTAGGATACGCACCGGGACTTGGCGCCGGAGGGCCCCCTGGTGGAGCAGGAGGTGGCACGGAGGCAGCGCTCAGGCCAGCGCCCTTTCGCATCTCCTTAGGAGGGGACACCGCCCTGCGCTCGGGTTGCTAGGTCCTCTGTTTGCCGCGTTCCGAAGGAGCCAAGAGCCGATCCAAGGCAAAGCGGGAGGGGGTCGCGGAAAAGCTAAAGGTCTGTCTTCAGGAAAGAGCCAGGACAAGTATTTGCCCTCTTGTTCCTTCCTGCTCCCAAGCTCTCCTGGCGCAGGGCGGGGAGAGAGGACGGGATCCCCCGCGGCCTTGGTTCCTTCCAAACGTCGCCGGCCCTCGGCGCCCTCCGGGCCCACTCCGCCCCGTACGTCGCGCACCCCCGGCCGCAGCCCGCGAATGGTCTGCCCCGTCGGTAGCCACCACCCCCTTCGGCGGCGACAGCTGCTCCAGCTGCTCCGGGTCGAGCGCTGGAGCCCAGAGAGGTGGCTGCTGGGGCGGTGGGCAGGCGGAGGGCGCACGGGACCCTCAGCGGAGGCTGCTGGGCCCAGGGGTTCCGCCCGTGGGGAGCCGCAGAGGAACCGCCTGAGACGGGGCGGCGAGGACCGGGGCTGGGCACTCCCATCCCGGTGAGTACCTGCTGCCGCGATCCTCCGACTCCCTTTCTCCGTCCTCACCCCGCGGAGGGCCTGGCCCATGCCCGGCACGGTCACTGCGCGAGGGTCACTGATCCCCGCGGGAGCACCGAACGGAGGAGCTGGTGCTGTCAGTGCTAATGATTCAGCACCCTTCGTGCCCCGAGAGATTTGGGCAAAATGGGGGAGGGTCGAGGGACGAGGTCAGCTGCTGCGCTCTCACCTCAGTTTCTGGGCTCAGGTGGACGTCCCTGGCTCCCGGCGGCGGGCGGGGTGAACAGGGAGGCTCCTTGCCGGCTCGCACTGTAAGTCCGTCCGTTTTCCACATCGTGGTACATGCCTCCGTGAGTGTACGGTGCAGTCTGCAAAGTGTGTCAGGTTAGTGCCTTTCTCGTACATGTGAGTGAAGTCTAGGGCTCTTGTCAAACCTGTCAGTTTCTCTCTTTCTTGCTACATTGGATGCCTAATTCATGCCATTATCCTCTCATTTGTGCATCGCATAGCATTCCCCAGCTAACGTGTAAGAAAGATGCTGTATCCAAGTTGTCTTGTGTTAAGAATGGCTTTTGTTTGCCTTGGCATTGAAGGAAAAGATTTAAGAGAGAATAATAGTTTCATAGCCTAGGCACTTACTTATATATATGTATTTTTTCATTAAGTCATCACAACAACCCACAACCAAATGTGGAAAGTGAGGAGAAGGGAAGTTAAATGAGGTGCTCAAGGTCATAGAACGGGAATTTGAATACAAGTCTTCTGACTCCAAAGCCCAGGGACCTTCTCTGTATTAAGGAATTGTGTGTCTAAGTGTAATATATGGTCTGTTAGGTATTAGAAATATAATTAATTTTCATAGGTGTAATCTCAAACAACAACCTGTAAACTTACTTTATATGGAATTATTGTTCATTTAGTGAAGAAGTAAGAGCATTCATTGAATTAGGTGAAAAAAAACCCCTGTTTTCTTAGAAAGCATCTGCCAAAAAATAATATCTGGACAACAATGCATAGAAGAGCTAGGTCATAACAAGAGGTTCAACACATTTTTGGCAGTAATGCATGGTGGATGCTCAAGTGTTGGAGAAATCACTTAGGATAGTAAAAAAAATCTGAAAATCTTTTTTTTTTTTAACTTTAGGGAAACATTTGCAGTAAGTAGATAACATAGCAGTTATCTAGTTGATGGGATGTGACCCATGATAGGGTGACATATAAAATCCAGATTGATAATATTACTGATTCAGTACAACTCTGTGATTTGGCACAGTGGGTAGTACTTCACAGTCCAAAGAACTGAAGTACAGAGAAGGTTCAAGATAGTACAGGTAGTAAGTGATGAAATCTGGACAAGCACTGACTCTTACAAAAAGTATGTGTGTTGTAGCAAAATGTAGTTCTTTATGGTGGGAAAGTGCACTGATTTGTTTTTTCTGCCCTTCAGAGTCAACAATTTTATTGACCTTATGTGCTCTTTCTGCAGAAATAATGAGTGCTAGGTTTTTCTTCATCCATTGCTTGGCCATTTGATGTGCTTTCATTTATGAGGTATCTGTTTTCTCTCAAGATACACAACTCTTGTTGCTGTCTCAGGAGGCAGGTTGCTATAGGACAAATGCTCATTATCTTTAAGTCCCAAATAGTATTTGATGGCATATAAGAACACAGTCATCTTAGTCCATCATTTCTAAAATTTTGAACTGTTTGCATTGGAGAATTCTTTTTAAGTTAATGGGGGTATTGATAGACTAGAGCCCACTGCCTAATTAAGGCCATAAATGGAAACACAAATTTACATTTGTTGTTCAGACAAGAAATTTTTGTTCTTTATATACTTGCAGACTATATCCTGAACCTCAGTAAGGCATCTTGCAATCCAACCTGTGTAATCCCAAGAGGGCAGCAAAATTGGTATGAGTAAATATGCAAAAATGCAACCCCTCTGCTATATTAAGAAAGAAAAGAAAGAAAGTACATGTCCTAGTGATGGAGGGTAAGCAGGAACATTTTAAAACAGGCAACACATTTTCTTTAGATAACATCGCTGAGTATGAATATAGTATCAATGGATATAGTATCAGTAGCTTCAGAACCGTATTTTTTCTCTCTTTTCTGTATGTATGTATTTGTCAAATGGGTAATATTTGCAGATCATCTAAATTCTTGACTTCAAGCTATTAAGAGTCTAGCTGGGGAGATACTATACATGAGTAATTAACAAAATAATTAGAATTGGCCTAATACCAGAAAAAGGTGATACAGACTTAAGTGCTCTATCACCTTAAGAAGGAGAAATAGTAGAGGCTGGGGTCATAAGATCAGGAAAGTCTTCATGGATGGGAGTGAATTAAGTCACTCTCAGAGAGATGGGAAGAATTTCAGATAAGTAAAAAGCCAAACCAAGAGGTTCAGCTGAAAAGTGCTCATATACTATTTGGATACACAGTGACAAATTATGAGAACATATCAGGCAGTGAAATCTGCTTCTTATCTGGTAATCGAGGAGAACTAGTTTAAGATGCTAAGCAGGCCAAGTTTCTTTTTGGCTGGTCTTATTCACATTCTTCATATTCCTTGTTCAAAGTACTCTTCTAGAAAATGTTATATTTTCTAGGTACTGATATTAAAAGGATTAGCTGTCAACTAAATCCAGAAAGTGTTTTCTGTGCAAGTAAAATTTTTCCTCTTCCAAAGAAGTTTGCCTTTTTAAAAGCTTTTCCCTTCATTATAGAATTATAAACAATTTAGAAACTACAAGAATTTAAAAAGGAAAAACAAATCGCCATAATCTTACTAAAGAAAATCATTATTAATATTTTGATATGCTTTCTTTCACTTTTTTCTGTGCATAGTTTTAATCATATTTTCACCTAATTTCAATTGAATAGTGACCATTTAAGATACATAATTTTCCACTAGATGTAGGTGTTAGAGTTTCCTAATTATTCCTCATTGTTACTGATGATAATAAATAACACTGTGATAAACATCTTTGTTCATAAGCTCTTAATATTTTAGAAATTAGTTCCTTAGCATAAAGTTTCAGAAATAAAATATTTTGGGTTAAAAGGCATGAGTTCTTAGTTTGATTTTTTTAATTGAGATATAATTGATATAGAATATTTTATTAGTTTTAGGTATACACCATAATGACTCCATATTTGCATATCGTGTGGAATGATCGCCACAGGAAGTCTAATTAATATCCATTACCTCACATAGTCAAAAATTTTTTTGTGATGCTTAGTTCAACGATTTTATGTGAACTTTGAAACTCTACTGGATTCTGTGTGTTTTCTTTAGAATATTTACATATGAAGTATAGGATATTTGTGTATTAATAATTTAGAATACTCACTTCTGTTAGAGCTTCTCAGATTACATTCGTTGGGTAACATTTTCTTTTGATTGGAAAGACCAGTTAAATTATGGGTACTGGAAGAAAGGCAGGTAGTTGGGGCCACTGAGGAAAGCAAGTTGGAGACAAGGTTTGGTGAGAGTGATCACGAGTGTGTAGTTAGAGAAGGGGCACACGTACCTTCTGGTTCTAGTGTTGTATTTGTGGACGTCAACACCCCCCCTCCAACCAGGCATCCGCCCTCACCTCCACACGATGTCTGTCTCTTTCAAATTAAAATCTTTTTCCATCCTCCTGTGTTAGATTCCCAGGTCTTCAGTTCAGTATCTGACAATGAAAGAAATATGAACTCACTCTTGCACTCTAGTTGGAGAATCCATATAGGTGAGGGAGGAATTCCAGACCTAATAGCTTTCAGCAAAAGCCCTGGTTACAAGGTACAAGAGTGTGTGGTGGACAGTGAAGACTCCCACCCCTACCCTTTGCACATTGCCAGAGGTGACCTTTGAGAACGGTGGTCACTGGGAGGAACACAGCATTCCTAACATCCCCGGGTGGCATTCAGGTGCTCCCTTCTCCTCATTTCCTAGTATCTCTCCATCAGAAGAAATTCCTCTGATGGAGGAGAGAAGCTGTGCCTCAGTGACCCAACCCGTGTAAGGTCACATGACACTACCTACTTGGACAGGTACATTGCCCAGGTCTTTGACTTGCTCTTCAGCCTCTCACCTGAGCTGCTTCTGGGTCCCACCCCCATTGAGGCAGGGAGGCATTAAGTGTCCGAGGACCAGTGGAAGGGGAGTCAGGTGATACGAACATGCTTGGAGGGTGCAGGTTGGGAGCAGAGAGCCAGGTTCTCATATGCCATCAGTCTTGGGAGATGGAAGGAAACAATGAAAAAAGAAACATCACATTACAAACCCCAAACACCCCACCCGCACCCCATCCCCCCATCCCACCACCACCCTCAGCTGTTCCAGATGATTTCTGTTGGTGAACACTGAGGTAGGCAGAGTTTTTGGGCTAGAATTTGTCCTGTGCTTAGTTGGGACCTATTATTTTAAGTTTGCTTAAATTATTAGAAAGTGGTGAACCTGTTTCCATTCCTTATAGGCATTATCTGTCAAAGTTGAACTGGGCTTAGCTAACAGTTTCCCTATTGTTAAGTTAAAGTTAAAAAGTTAAATTTAGATTGGCTTGCCTCTTTATTCTTTGCTACCTTGATTTCTGTTAGTTCCCATTTGACATTTATCTGCTAAGCTAACACACTCCTGCCCACAGTACACACAGCAGTTGATAAAGCCAAGGTGTTGGGATTGTTTAGGCTCTGAGAAGGTGAATAATAAATAAATTTCCCTTTTTTCTTTCACTTTTTACTTAAAAGAAATTGGTTGCCCTTTGTTCCTTTGACTCCTTTGAAGGTTTAAAAGTTAGGTAGTTAAGTGGTCACTGGGTCTTGTCTGGGGCTGACTGAAAAGAAAGGTCTCTGAGAACTCCTTCCTTTTGAAATATTCTAGGTCCACTGGTTGTGCTGAACCATCCATGTTCGATTTTTCTAAGTTATGTTGCAGTACCTGAGCTTCCACACTTCTGTGTTATTTTTGTTCCTCTGTGTGGTCATGCAAAATGGAACATTCTGTTTGGTAAAGGATTATTTTGAATATTTCTATCTCTTTTACCCACTACTTTGCAAAGTCTGAAATGGTGCCAAATCTTTTTTTAATAAGATGGAAGTAGCGTGTTTTTATAAAAATTCCCTTTCCTCTTCCACTAATGTGCTTAGTGAAGTTGAAACTTTGCAATAGTGAAATTGACTTTTTAGAGTAAATTGAGCATTTGTAGACTTGGAAGATGGGTCAGCGTAATCCAGGCTGCAGCTTCAAGATTATATCAAGGCTCTTTGTTGGGTTAGAATTTTAGGGTGGTTTAAGTATACCTATCATTTAAAATTGTTTGTGTAAAATATGCTTGAATTGATATGGTCCTAATACTAGGTTTGATTGGGTTTGTGATATGAATGTTC